AGTATAATTTAATGTCTGATATTGTGATGCCTCCTGCTTCACTTTTCTCACTAAGGGTTTCTTTGGCTATTCTAGACCTCTTGTTTTTCCAAATGAATTTCATTACTGCTTTTTCTATTTCTATAAAGAATATAATTGGAATTTTATTGGGAATTGCATTAAATCTGTATAGTGCTTTTGGTATTATGGCTATTTTGACAATATTAATTCTGCCTATCCAAAAACATGGGATACCTTCCTATCTTCTAACTTCTTCTTCAATTTCTTTCTTTAGTATTCTGAGGTTTTCATTGTCTTTCACCTCTTTTGTTAGATTGATTCCCAAATGTTTTATTTTCTTTGAGGCCATTGTGAATGGGACAGTTTTTCTAATTTCTCTTTCAATTGATTCATCATGGATGTATAGGAATATGATTGATTTATGGGTGTTAATTTATATCCTGCTGCTTTGCTGAAAGCATCTATGAGTTCTAGAAGTTCTCTGGTGGTGTTTTGGGGGGTCTTCTAACATATGTCATCAGCAAATAGGAATAGTTTGAAAAAAGAGAGGATTCTAAAGCAAAAGCCCACCAGAGCATTGAGTTGGTTTGAGAGTGTGTTTTGCTGCTTGAGATGAACCCGGAGTGGCATTTGGGAGAAAATAAGAACAGGTTCTTGGATTCACCTGCTCCCTTCAGACCATTCAACTTGACATAATCCCAAGGACAGAGGAGGAGCCAGGATGCACAGATGCCAGGAGTAGAGCAGGAGAGGAGCGATGAAAACATGACTCTATGTTCAGCAAAGACCCCTTGTGCAGCTCCATGGAGAGAAGATGAGCAGGAGGGAGAGAGAGATGCAGATTGGAGACAGCTGCTCTCTAGGATGCTGTAGAAATGACTTAGGGAGTCAAGGGGCCTCTATGAGAGCATGGAAGTGAAAATGGAAAATGAGAATGGTCTAAAAGTTGTGGTAGAGGTAGACCACAGGAAATCGTTCCTGTCTTTGGAGTTAGTTACTCCTGGGCCAAGGGCAAGGGTATTATCTTAGTCTGCTTTATGTTGCTATAACAGAATATCACAGACTGGGTGATTTATAAAGAAAAGAAGTTCATTGGTTCATGAAACTGAAGGCTGGGAAATCCAAGGTCATGGCCCTGACCCCTGCTCAGCATCTGGTGAGGGCTTCTTGCTGCATCACAATACAGTGGAAGATGGAAGGACAAGAGAGAACGAGAGAAAGGAGGCGAAGGCACCTTTACAACAAGCCCACTTTCTCAATAGCTAATCCTCTCCCTCCATAACTAGCCCACTCTGCACGGCCATCCATTTGTGAGGGCTCTGTCCTCAAGACTGCATCACCTTCTGTTAGACCGTCCCTCAACACTGATGCATGGGGACGGAGCTTCCAGCATATGCACTGTGGGGTCACATTCAAACCACAGCCGATACTGATGCTCTTGACAAGATGGGTCAGTGCTTGAAGCTGGTTTCTGGATGAGGTAATCTGTTTATATGGGACATTTTGGCTCTTGGTTTCTTTCTTTTATTTCACTTCAGTTCATTTGTTCATTCATCAAAAAGCATTGCATGAGCATTTGCTATGGGTCTGATAATACTATGCTAAGCTCTGGGATGCCAGAGGAATAAGAACTGGCCTTCTACCCTCCAGTGGGTGGGGAGAAGGTGACAAATTAACAGACAGTTACAATGTAAGGTGAGTGGTGTGAAGATTGAAGTCCACCAAGGACACCCGGGAGGCACAGAGGAGGGGCACCTAACCAGACTGGGGCTGGGGTTAGAGATATGAGGTAATGTCTCAGCTGAATTGAGTCATGAAGGATGAGCAGGGTGAGCCAGGCAAGAGTAGGCAGAAGGACACTTCATGTAGAGGGAGCAGCAGGTTCAAAGGCCCAGAGGCAAGCGATTGAATGGCATAAATTTGAGTCCTGCCAAGTTCTTAAGTATGACTAGAATGTAGAATACCAGAAAAGGAGGTGGCAAGGAAGGATATTAGAAGGATACACAGGGGGACACAAATAGCACTGTTCTAAGGGTGTTTTAAAGTAGAAAGAGTTATGATGGGATTTAAGATTTATAAATGTAACTTTAGCAGAGTGTGGGGTCTAAACTGGAGTCCAGGCACTTTGGTGGCAAGGAGCCACAGGGCTTTGTCTTAATGTTGAGGATTTGGACTTGAATGGCTTTTAAAAATGGAATGACATAAACAAATTCAAGTGATACAAAAAAAAGTGGCAGCAACTGAATTGGCAACTGATTGGATGGATGGTGGTTTGGAAGGATGAATGAACAAGGAGAAGGCAGTGTTGTGAATTTCTTGCTTGGGTAAAGTGACATAGAACACCACACATGAAGCAAAGTTTTGTGATACTTTTGCTAGTAGGAGGAGGAACGAGGGGGTGAGCTTTGGTTGTGTGGAACTTGAGTTGCTTGGTAGTCATCCAGTAGAGTTGGTCTAGAGGCAATCACAAATGCTTGCCTGGAGGGCAAGAGGCAGAGCAGGAGGTGTAGACGTTAGAGGTGCCACCACAAAGGTGGTACCAGAAACTCAGGGTGTAGGAGAAGAGTTTGCCCACAAGTCTACAGAGGGGAAGAGAAGATGGCAAGGGATGAGCTCCTGGGAAAGACCAGCTCTCCAAAGGACAGTAGAGAGAGGGGAGAGAAGGTACAAGATACTAGAAAGCAGCAACAAAAGAAGTAGGAGACCAAGGAGGAGCGGAACCATGGTTTACAAGGAAGGCCAGAGATTTCAGAAGCTAGAGCAGGCAACAGTATGGAAAGCAACAGAAAGTCAAAAGATGATGTTGCATTGGATTTGCTACAGAGTTATTGTGGGGATTTTGGTAGGAACATCTCAATAGGTTTGTGGAGGAGAGATGCCAGATGGGAGTAAGTGGAGGAGTGACCGAGAGGTAAGGAAGTGGAGACACCGTCCAAAAGATGTCTCTGAGGGGAGAAACTTGGGGTGTATGTGTGATAGGAAGGGATGATTCTTTTTGAGATGGGAGTGATTTGAGCAAATACAGAAAAATCAAGTAGATGCAGGAGATGTTGGAGATACTTGACAAATAGAGGGGAGGAAGCAGATAGGTCCAGAGCTCAGGAGGTGAGCTACTTCCTAGACCAGTGGTTCACAAACCTGGATGCCCATTAGACTCACCTGGAGAGTTGTAAGCAGATGCCTGGACCTTGTCCCCAGAGATTTTGATTTAAGCAGAATGTAGCAGAGCCCAGTTTTTATTTGTGTTTTCAAATCTCTATTTGTTTACATTTTCAGATCTTCTAATGATTCTAATGTATAGTCAGGGTTTAAGAACTACTGTATTAAATTTTGACAATTGTCCATTGAATGCTTTCAAAACACTTTTTATGAATCTTCTTAATTTTCTTTTGCAACAATGAATGTTTCATTACCTGCAGAAGACATTTTGAAGAAATATGTTATGCCGGCTCTCAAGTGGCATACAACCTCATAGGAGAAACAGTAACAATGTGTCATACAGGTCTCTTATCTAAAGTGCTTGGGACCAGAAGTGTTTCCGGTTTCCTTCCTCCCTCCCTCCCTTTCCTTCCTTCCTTCCTTCCTTCCTTCCTTCCTTCCTTCCTTCCTTCCT